AACTTTAAAGGAGTTTCGCAATGTGACTACAATCCTTTTCTTGGGAGATCAGTTTACCCCTTTCTATTCTCTGAAGAGCTACTTCTGTAGAGGATCGAGTCTTTGATGTCGGATAAAACGAACGCAAGGTGAGGCATTAATAGCTGAAAATTGCTCCTAACACCAACGACTTTACGGTTAGTCCAATTTTAACATTCACTTTGCATCTTGGAGTTGAATTTATTTATTCGACACCATTACCAGGGGTGTTGGAATTCCACCTATGTCAAATAACTCATCACCGAGTTTGGAGAAGATATAAGCAAACTATTATAATGGGTTTTAAGGAAATCATCTCGCTCTTCGTCATCGTTCTGACACTTTGAGGTGGTTTCGAGTGACTTTGCGTCCTTCATCCTAATTTTTGCAGCTGCTGTCTTTGCAGTCGTAGTCCAGTGACAACTTTCAAACTCTTTGACCACTGTAAGCTTCGTTAATTCTGTAGCGGAGACGAAGGAAACCTTTGATGAACCAAATACAGATGGGCAATGCGGCATGAAGTCACATGCCAGCGTCCACATTACTACGGAGGGGGCACTGTGATTGATGGAGAGGTCTCGGCAGAGCTTCGACCGGTTAGACCGGGCAATTCGTGTACGCCCGCACACAGGCAATCCATCCGGATGGTGTAGGAGAAATCAGAAATATGTCCCGGGCGTAAGGTTATTGAGGTCAACGGTTTAAATGATGGCGTGCACAAGCGCTTGTAAGGCCAAATTTGTAGCCCAAAGGCGTAGTCATCCCCTCAGAACGGAAACGCCTGGGGCTACGAAACCCATGCACTGCTGTCAGTCAAGTAATTTATGTACTAAGCGCCAGGCCACCGGTAACACTTCATTCAAGTGAGCCTCCACCAATGAAACCACCCATTTCATGCACGGGGGCAGGCCATAATGAAATGCAACTTGTCTTCCCTAATTACTCGGATGGATATGAAATGTAATGCTGGCTCGTGTAAGCACTTTACTGCCATGCTGGTGACCAAAATACCGTTCTCTGTTGGTTCAGTAAGTGATACATCTTGAAGTGAGTCACACGCAGTCGAGTGTCCTGCACGAACGCCTTAAATTTTGTTGTGCAGCCTAGTAGAAGTGTGATGCTGT